CACTTGGAGAAATTGGTAACACTTGGAAAAATATGTCACAATTAGAAAAGTGGGTCACACTTGAAAAAGTGGGTCACACATGGAAAATGGGTCACGTTTGGAAAAAATGGGTCGGACTTTAAAAAATAGCTCACACTTGGAAAACATTCACAAAAATCAGGTCAAGGGGTGTAGCATTTCAGTAAAATTATTTCTGTTACCACTGATTATGACTCAGTAATAGAGAGCCGTCAGACAGAAGCATAAGGCTATTATTTCACCTAATTTTTCAAATGTTATATATCTTTTTAGACTAACTTTCAATTCATATCCATTTTCACAGGGTCTTTTCACTTCGATTCACAAACAGGTGAAACTCAATATGAGATGGAAAAAGGTCTAAAACGGCATGTGAAAATGATATGAGGTTTCCACATGTTTTTTGTTTGCATTTAGAAATTCACGCATTTTTCACAGGGTAAAATATTTCGCTTGTATTTCACAAGCGAAATGATCTTCACATATTTTTACATTATTGTGTCTAGTGCTTTCGCACTAGACACAATGTAAAAGCGATAAAAAAAGATAGCTGCCTACTTCATATACGGCGAAATGCTCCAATAGTTTCAACGAACTCTCCTCTCGTGACAGACTACATGAACAGGAAAATCGCAAGTGAAAATGCGTTACCAAATCGATATGTCGCCGTTACTCGTCAGTCTGCTCGAGCGAGTGCCCGAGCAGTCAAAGCAAATATTTGTCCAATCCTCTTGCAACGAATGTTGGTGTCGCAAAATCTTCGTGTTATGAATAATATTCTGAGCAGTGTTTTCTGAGTTGAAGTGTTCGAGAAGAAAGGGGTGAATATTTTTGCTTAAGGCGGTTTATTATCATCACTAAATCCAAGATTAGCGTCATTACGAATATTACCGTCCCTTCAAGAAACAGTAACATATTTACTATGCTACGGCTTTCGAAGTACTCGTGAAGGACTGAAATACTCTAAAAGATGCTTTCCAGTTTTAGATCGATATCAGCCCTCTAAGACAAACTGGATATCCATATTTGCTCTCCATGCCTTAGGACGAGTAACTTTATCATCATTGATCCTTAATTCATTTGGTTGTCGAGTTAAAAATATGGTTGGAGAGTTAGATGCTGATTTTATAGAAAGTAACTTTTAACTTCAGAAACAGTTCCTCAAATGTTTTACATTCACCTTCTTTCAAATCATTTAATTTTTTTCACAGTTTTTTTTTTTAATAGTGTCTCTTTGTTGTTTTATGTTCTGTCGAGGTGTATTATTGTATAAAGGATAAAATATTTCAGTTGCCCTCGTAGGTGGTTTTGGGTAATTAAATCGACATTCATTCTTTGATTTCTTTCTGCAGGTATAATCATGAAAATGACTGTGAATCTGCCTGTTAACCAGGTTTTTCAGTTCCGGGTCATTAACTGACCGTGGCAATTGACAAAATATATGTTATCAATTAACTCTAACAATAGCATTATCATCAACTCCAAATACTGGGGCATTTTCTAATCACATAAGTATGTGAACGTGAGGCGAACCTCGTTGCTGTTCTTCCTCTCTTTAGAACCAATGGGAAATGTTTCCTAATGCTAGTGCTTCACCATTTTTTTTCTGAAATACCTGTTTCCATATATATGTTAGTTCATTTTGGGACATATTCATGCTATGGCACCCAGAAAAATATTAGTGGTGAGGGAAAATACCGACAAAATAAAAAGGCAACGAAGTATAAAAGTGGCAGAAAGAAACAACTGATACTGTACTTTGCATAAAAATTTATCCTGACATACCTGTTTCCATATGTATATATGTTAGTTCATTTTGGGACATATTCGTACTATGGTACTCAGGAAAAATTAGTGAGGGCGAGGGAAAATAACTGTTATTGCGTGGAAGAGACGACGACACATAAGCTAACCCAGTGTTTTATCTCCACCTCGTGTGCTCTCTCTACATCCCATAATACTCTAGACTGGTGTCCAATCCCCTAACAATAATGACGAAATAAAAAGGCAACGAAATATAAAAGTGGTAGAAAAAAACACCAGATACTCCACTTCGCATAAAAAAAATTATCAATGAGCTTGTTCTATTATTGATAAAACCATTTCTTACATACGCCTGTATGGGGCATTCAAACAACACTACAATACTCTTAAAGCTTTTCAACCCAATAATAGGAATTTAAAAATAGCAAAATACAAAATTGCATCAATCAAAACAAACTTCTCAGGACACAACAATATCTACATGTAAACTATCAATTCCCCGTATCCACCCTGCACTAGACACATGTTCGCATTGCGGACCTATTTTTTAACAGTCTACCGTGAAAGCTACCTGGGCACCAGTCTCAAAGATTAACCCCTGGAGGTTTTTAAAAACAATTTAGCAGTTAACGGCTGTCCTGCAGGGAAAATGTTTTACCTGATTTTGTACGTAGCAGGTACCTTGGTTTGGCTATTGTTACTCGTGGTATGTGTTTTTGCGGTATACTTGCTTCATACAAGACGTAAATTTGCCCACATCCCAAGTCCACCGATGTCAAGGTAATGTTCAGCATCCTTCACTTGATTCGCTCTCAAACCTTTCGTGCACACATAGGGTCACATATCGTGTATTACTTTGGGTTCTTATAAAGCAAATCCCTTACCAGTAAGATTTAAAAGTAGTTGTTGCACAGTAGTTTCATTAATAATAAGTGTGGCTATCAGCGTGATAAACAACTAAGTTGTACAGTAGGAACCGTTACGTTGGACTAGACTAAACCGAGTACGAGATTGAATACGGGTACGATTTTCGATGTTCAAACCAGTGACGTTTCCAGAACCCTCCCTCTTCATGTTGATTTGAGGTACACTGCGAGCAGTCTCTGTTTTTCTCGAAAAACCGAAGAAGAACGAAGACTGTGAGCGTGGCGTGCGAGGAGTGAGCGAGCCGTGACCTCGCATATCACGCTTGCATGCTTAGACTGCACTTGAGTTACGTTGTCCCATGGATTTTCGAGCCTTTCGTGTTGAAAATGGCCGCTTTTTCGGTAGTTATTCCATTCAGTTTCTGAATATAACATTGCCGATGTATTGATGAAACCAAGAACAAAATACCGTGCAATAGACAAATACACAAGTATATAATGAGGGTTCTATTGCCCATTTTAATTTTACGAAATAAGGCTCCCAGGGGTTATACAAGTTTTGTTTAATGTATAACCCCTGGGAGCCTTATTTCGTAAAATTAAAATGGGTAACAGAAACCTCCCTTATATTTGTGTGGGTTTGGACTCTCGGCTCAGAGCCACAGTTCAAAGCACGAACATGGATATGCAAATTCGAGTTTGTTGACCCCTGAATTAAACCCGTTCTGCCACGCGCTTCCATCGTATGTGAATAGGATGTTGTTTACCACAACAAAACAAGAGATGACGGCAAAGGCGTATTTTTAGCACAACCGTGGAGCCCATTTTTACTTAGTAAAAGGATAAAATGGTTGATTTTATTAACCAGATCAAGTTTAAAGGACCTGTTCAAGCGAACTGGACAATTTATATTTACGCGAACCCTTGACTCAAACTCTTGACTCACACGCGAAGCAAACTTACGTTTGAAATGCACATTTGCGTTGACCTGATGCGTCAATTTTGATTGGTTGATTAGTAATACGATGACCTACGCTTTCAAATCTACCCAGCGGTGTAATTTTTCTTGTAAAAAACCCGCTGGTGTGTAGCCCGGTGGTAGCTCGGCCATTGTTCTTTCTTTACGAGATCGAATATTGGTCACAGAATTATTTTCTATTGAAGAAATCTATTGCCTGTGTATAAACAGCAGAATGGCTGCTTTAAGATTCTCATCTGACTTCCTGGAATTCGAACTTCTTGCGAAAACAAAAGACAAAAGATGCCTCTCGAGCCCGTAAGGAAAATTTTAGTAAGTGGCTTCGTGTAGAGAAAATGATTGTTCCAAAAGGTTACCTATACAAAGCTGATCTTCTGAAATTTGCGCAAAAGACAAAACCAAGATTGACTGATTTGATTGAAAATGAAATTACTAGCTTGGAGAGTGTTGAAACACAATTTGGGCTTATAGTTAAGTTTTCAATCATCAGAAACAATAGATGGAACACAATTTCAAACAGAATGAGCCTGTCATTCTTAACATAAACAATGAAGCAATGATAAACGACTTCTTTAACCGCTTCATTGAAATAGAGGCATGGTCGCAAAGAGGTTCAGGCTGGGTGATTGAAGGTATTTTAGATGCATTTGTTAATGTTGCTCGATATACGAACCATTTCGCGGAGGAAGCTATTTTCCTCTCCCAAAAAAGTTACAAAATAAGAAAGCAATAACATCTAAAACAGAGACAGTCAGTGCCTGAGATGGGCGCTACGTGCTGCTCTTTTCCCAGCTAAAAAAAGGAAAAACCCGCTAAGACCTAGGAGTGACGGTCTTAATTTCACAGATATCGACTTCCCAACATCGGTTTCACAAATTTATAAGCTCGAAAAACAAAACCTAAATCTTGCAATCAATGTGTTTGGCTGGGAAAATGACCATGTTATTGTTTACAGAATCAGCGAAAAAGAAGGCGCTATTCCACGAAACAAACTTTATGTTACTACAGCAAGGTGAGAACATCACTGCTGCACTACAGCTATGTGCAAAGGCTCACCGCTCTCTTGTATGACCAAAGCAAGGATTCTAATAGTAAACATTTCTGTTAACGTTGTTTGCATGGGTACACAACATAGGATCTTCTTGAAAGGCACAAACCTGAATGCAAAGGGTTCTTAAAAAAAAAAAACAAGAACAGAGCTGCCAAAAGCGCCTTCGTAATATACGCAGGCTTCGAGTCTTTGTTAAACAAAAATGTATCAATTCCTTCATCGAGCCAAACTTTGCTCGTTAGAGACTAAGAATGGTCAATTGGACCTATTTATGGCGAAAAAGAAAGTTTTGGAGAAAATTTGTGCTTTTCTTTAACCCTTTGAATACCAAACTTTCGCCAAAAAATACCGTTTTTAACCGTTTAG